CCCATTCATTAGTGGTGTACACAAACGCTAATGATGTTTTCAAGTTGACCTTATATTCTGCTAAGTTGCTGCTTCAGATTATTAAAGAGCTTTCTGGTGGCGTTCCCTGGGTCTTTTCCTGGGTCTCCTGTGTGAAGTATAATATCTTCCATTTCCAGTATTTCCTTCTAGCATCTGCAGTCTTCAATCTTATTGGTTATACCCTTCTTCTCCCCCTCCCCCCGTATGATCTGTAGGTCTGTGTGTAGATCTCTCGGCTCACTGTGCGCCCTGCCTGTAAACCACTGCGGGAGCTGTCAGAGCTGCCATGCCAGCCCAGGGAAGGTGTGGTAGAACACTGGGTTCTGAGGGTCATGGTGCAGCTTCCCACTGTTAGGAGCCAATGCTGGACACATGATGTAAATTCCAGTGTCTGTGGGACCAGCTCCAGCTACCAGGGGAGGCAGACATGCAGGTGCATCTGGAACTGACAGGAGATTCTGATTGGCCTGTGAAGGCCAGGGTGCTCGGGCGTGTCTCAGACATCCAGAGTACCAGGAAAATAGGCAGCCCCTTAACCCTTGCTGCTAAGCAGGCAGAGGACTGGCCCATTTGCTCATGAAGGCAACAGCACACTTAAGCTTAAAATTATAATGAAACCAACTATTCTGATGATGACCACAACAGCTTTCCTATTACTCTGAGCATTAAGGTGGACAAAATGAAACAAGACCAAGTAATCACATGCCTGCCTGCCAGTCAGGAGCATGTAAGGTCCAGCAATGGAATGAGGTTTCAGGTGGGGTCACAAGCCACATATGAAAACAGAAATGGAGAAATACATAATCAAAGGAAGTATGTGTTCCACAAATTATAAACAAATACGCAGTTATAAAAAAAAAACCTGGGGCTGGGGAGATGGCTCAGTGGAATAAGCGCTTCCCTGGCAAGCGCAAGGGCCTGTGTTCAATCCCTAGTTCCGCAAAAAAAAAAAAAACCTACTTATGACATAAATATCATAAACTAATAAATGACAAATGTTATTTTATAAGCAAATTTAGGCAAAGACATAAAGCTGTCCTAGATCAGATATCAAACATTCCTATCAATATGTACAGACTTAGAAATTAGGCCTTTCAAATCAGGTTAATAAATATAATCTAATGAACCAAAGCAAATCATTTCAAGTACCTTGATACCCAACCAATAAATAAATCAATTTGCTTATATCTTCTGATGGTACTGACTACCGAACTTCAAGCCCAAGGCTAAGTGTAATCACCTGCTGTGTGGACGGTTCGTTAGCCATGTACCTACGGCAGGCACCGAGGACACACCCAGGGACCGAGCCCTGTCCTCTGAGAGCAGGCAGTTAGGCAGAAAGATGAAGACAAATTAGCAAACAGACTAGAGTTAAGAAAAAAAAAAGCTAAAGAGAAGACACATGGTCTAGGATGAGGGGGAGACACCATCTGAGGGACGTCTTAGAGAAGGAGCAGAGGTGTGGAGGTGCGGGGAGGACCATCAGCCCCCGGGCAGTGAGTGTGGTGGCCCGGGACACCCAGCGTGCTCTCGACACCCAGTCCTGGTGAATGCCAATGAAGCAGTAAGTACCTGGTTTCATCATCAAGGGAGTTCACCAGCTTTTCATCAGCCAGTAATTTCTGCAAACTTTGGTATAACTCCACATTCGTGTTCAACCTAGAAAAATGAAAAATGAAAGAAACTTACCTTCTAATACATTATTTTTTTATCTGTATCAAACAAATGGTATCAGACTGTAGCATGCATGTGGCTGGGGGCCAAATGAGGGTTGTTACAGGAAGAAGGGGAGGTAGAATGCGGGGCTGTTGACCTGATGGAGAACCAGTTCCCTTGGCAAACACTGGCAGGGACTGTGAGGATGCGAGGGAGGCTGACAGCACAGGGTTCTTCCGTCCTGGCTCCCTGTACCTGGATGAGAGTGGCAACCAAGGGGGACCTCAGGACACAGGTGCCAGAGCCGCACACAGATGCATGCTGGCCCTGCTGCAGGCCTGCAACTGCGGGCCAGGCATTCAGACCTCAGGCACCGCAAGGGTGGGATGAGAACCTGCATGCACGTGCATGTCCCTCAGCTCCCAGGACTGCGGCCAGCCTGGCCAGCGGCCCGGAGCCAAGGCTGGGGAGCTAGGGGCCACTGCCGAAGAGGAGGCTTCAATGTGACCCACAGTACCATCAGGACCCGGTAACACAAGGCCGTGGTACACTCAGGACTGATTAGACACAGCCTGCACTGCCTGGTGGCTCCTGAGGAAAGACAGTAATAAAAACCATCCAGTTCTTACTCAGGGTCTCAAGACTGGCCCAGTTCCTCAGTCAATTCACAATCAAAGAGCCATTTTTTAATGTATAAACCAAACGGTTTCTTTGCCATCACTCTCCTGGGTCGTCTTTCCGAGAGAACTAGGGCAGCCACTGCCAGTGAAGACACCCAGCAGGAAGGGTCATGTACACCTTCGCATCACCTACTCCACGCACTGCGAAGAGGAGTCAGGAGGAAGAGTGGGCGCCCTCCTGCTGGCCTGCTCTCCCACAGGGCCGCTCACGGCGTGAAGGACAGCAGCGCGGAGGTGCCTGCACTGCGTCACCTTGGACAGTTTAAGCACAGATCTGACACTGTTGTGTTGGATGCTCCTAAGATAAAATCTGTGTTTGTCATGCATTATAAACTACACTAAATTTAATGTTTTTTCCCCTACGACCAGAAAATAAATCAATTCCACATATCAAAGGGCCAACCAAATAGCTCAGTAGATTAAAGCACCTGCTTAAGCAGACACAGGGGTCAGGAGTTTGATCCCCAGGCCTGCCGTGCCAGCCCCGCCCTGGAGGTGCACTGAGACAGCAATTGAGACTGGGAGTGGTGGTGCTCCCCTGTAATCCCAGCACTTGGGAGGCTATAAACAGGAAGGATCACTACAAGTCTGATCTACGCAGTGAGACACTAGAGACCCTGTAGACCCTTGTCTTAAAATACACACATCAGGTGAAATAACCCTGGCTTTCAGAATACTGACAGATGCAGTTAGTTACAATACAATGAAATTAAAGGGGTAAATTACTGACTCACAGTGCTTGGGAGAAAGCAAAGCTCTCAGCAAGGCTATGAAGGTTCTTTTAAGACTTGAAACATGGTCCACCATGAGATGAAGATGACAGCCATCCTGCAGCACCACTTCAGCAACAGTGATTTTGTTTCCCTCCCACAAAATAACAAGAGTCCTCACATGTACAGTAATGTCACGGTAGAAAACACTGATTTGTATGACAAATGTGTGGTGACAATCCCCCCCACACCCCCACAGTACTCATCCTGGTTGCACCTGAACCCCACAGATACAGTTTTTAAGCACCCCAGGTGGGGCCTGGCTATGCTGGTCTCTTCCTTGGGTCCCCCACAGGTAATGGCCATCCTCCCAGCTGTCCCCCACTGTAGCCTTGTCAGTTTGTCCAGCGCCTAGAATGCTACCCCTTGAGCAAACTCATTTTCAGGGGCTGTATGGTGCTAAGGGAGCAAGGCTGTCGCTGAAAGCCGCAGCTGCTCATTCTAAGATGCTGGTCTCCCAGGAGGCCCTGCCTAAGGGAGAAGCTGCCCTCTTCTTCCACCAACTTCCAGTGTGAGGAGCAGTCTCCTGACGCTTCCTAGTCCGCTTCCCCTTGTAAACTCATGCCAGGCAAGCTCTGGGGCTCTCCCGACCTTCATCCGCCCTCTGGTGTGGTGTCACCACCCAAGTATCCTGGAACATGGCACTATTTAGTTATTTTAACAAGCACTCTGAAGCTCTCACAAATAGCTTATAATTTATGTCCAAATTACTTTAAAATAATTCATGTCACCGTGAATTACTGTTATGCTTGCAGGGTCTCAGGCCCCCAGAATTTTACAATCCTATTGGGTCCCCCAATCCTAACTCAGCAAGCCCTGAGGACACTGTCTGGGGCATCATAATTTCAGCTCCTGGGGAGTGGGCACCACAGCCATGGGCGGCAGCAGCTCAGCCGTGCCTGAGTCCAGAGCTCCAACTCGCCGCCGGGACCACACAGCCCTTATACACTGTAAGCAGTGAGGATGGAGAAGCTACTGGATGTCCCCCGAGTTACTGGACGGGCGTGAGTCGCTGGGCCTCACACCTCAGAAGTACTCGACATGCTGATCCTCACGGCAGGCCTGGAGGCAGGTGAGCCTCACCCCAGTGAGAGTGGGAGAGGAAGAGAGACCAGGAGAGGAAGGTGGCCCAGGGCCCTCCCCTTCCAACCTGCCCAGGCACTG